ATTGAAAGCCACTCCGATTTGGGCCCTGTATTCTGTAGTCTCTCCGAATTCTGGGACTACCGACAGCGGGTACACTCAAAAYATGCCTCTCAAATGTGGACGGGTATTCTATAGTCACTCCCTCGCAAGTACTAATTTGAATCTCCATAAAGAGGTAAGCTTATATAAGAACAAAAACAGTTCAAATTCGACGCGTTCGGTTTTCATCGTACCACTGAATGCTCTTCTTCTCGTAGGCTAAAATGGCGCCAAAAAGTCCGGTAAAACATTTTCGTAACATAAACATTTATTCTCAAACGAACATATTATGCATGCTTACCTTATTTTTTGCGATAGAGGTACACATTTATATAGTTAGCCATCCTTGGCGTCGTTTTYTCTTTTCCCCCTTCGCGAAAGCACGTTTCTGCATTTTCCCGTCAAGCACTGCAGTAACCAACAAACCTACCCATGRTCCCATCTGGCTTATTCCACAGGACGACCAGCGAAAAGCGAGATTAAAATTTTGAATCAATAAAGTGCTAGTGTATCCTATTGGTGCTTATAGATCTATTTCTTTCGAATAAAGCTTAAAACTGCCTTAAACTCCCTTATCCCATCCCCTTGTCAAAACCCCTTGTTCCGTCTTGTTTTCCTATGTTGTGGTATTCCTGTGGATTCATTCCAGTCCCACATCGTTTTTTCMAGGACCTTAGGCAGAAAGGCCCTCGGAACGAGGTTGCATCCCACTAAAACAAAAATATATTTGATAATGGATGATAACGTAAAGAGTTTATTGTCGCTTTTTCGCAGACTTTGTGAACTAGCATTCCTCACCGAGGCTTCCAAAAGGGAAGATGCATATAAAAAGATTTTTTATACGAACTTGATCATGAAAAAGCTTCGAATTCGGTTATACGAAAAATTGTTCATGGAACTTCAGGCTCCATGGATTGGGACGATGACAGCTCGGAAAGATGGGAAACACTGCAAAAACATGGATTTGAATGCTCATGAAAAAATTGCTTTGATGGCATTTAATCTGAGGTTGAAGAGAGAATTCGATAAGGCTGACCTATTGGAGTATTATTGCACGAAATGGAAGCGTTTTAAAGGTATAAGTTATTAGTGATGAGAGCAATGAACTGAAAAAGGTAGAGCGKTACGGTGTCAACGTCGGATTGTGAAATACTATTCAACTTTTTTCAAATTTTTAATAGTAATTCATTATAGTCATAAGAGTAAACGTAGCTGCAGCGTGAAATGTTATCAAAGTGGATAGCATTTATTAGTGTGTAGTTTTATATGTTATTATAAAATGCTATTAAGCTTAAGCTTAAGCTTAGTCTTATTAAGTTAACTTAAATCCTAAATAAGCTTAAGTATCTGTCCAATATTTTTTCTCTTAATTGGACAGTTGCGAATCATAATCTTAGGTAATAAGACTCCATGATCTCTAATTAAGAAATGATTAATCATCAATAATTAATAATCAATGATTAATCATCTTAAGCTCGCAGTCTACCATGACTCTGTCATTGTAATTGTTTGTAATTTGAAAGCGCTTAGAGCAGATTTGTATAAGCGCTGTATAAAATAAAATTATTATTATTATTATTATTAATTATTATTAATTATTAATCACAAAAAACTTGTCTAAAAGTCCACCACTTTACTAGTAAGTTTGGATAACTTTCTTTCTTATAMTTGACAAAATCATTAACATGGTCATTTAGAAAATAATTGGCTGGTGCTGGCTACAGAAACTCATCAGAASTATAGCAAGACAAATAATTGTATGAGGTCGTATGGTGTATACGGTATCAAATCAGGAGAATGTCAGAAAATTAATAAAAAGTWATTCCATGATTAGATATGGAATAGCATACTCAACAACTAATACAAACTCAACCAAACCTTCAAAGTTTCAGCAAAATTGTCACAGATTTCATTATGATGTTGATTTTTTGTGATAACCTATATGACTAAGTTGTAAATTTATCATTATAGATGTTGTAGTTCAGGTTCAATGAGCCAGGTAGCACCGCTCGAAACGGGTCTCATGATAGGTTGAGAAGACAATGGACAAACAATAGATAAGTCTTCCAACAATATAACAAAACCTAACCTAACAATAGTGGTGCTGTACTTAAGGAGCAATCAAAAAGCAGGTTTCAATTGGTACTGCATTACTGGGTTCAATATGATTTTGAACCAGTTCAATTTCTTCTGAACTGGTTCAGTTAATTTTGAGCTAGTCCAATATAAGTCAATCCAGTACAAATCAGTTTAGGGTTAGGTTTTGGGTTAGGTTTAGGGTTAGGTTTAGGGTTGGGAATAGGGTTGAGCCAGCATTATATAAAAATTTTCTTCATTAATAAATTACAATTAAGATAAAAACAATTTGCAAACATTACTACCAACAAAATCCTTGATGGTATAATTGGTAGTACTGTGGACTATGAAGCAAGAGTTCAGTGGTTCAAACCCTGATGAAGGTAAGTGTTATTATTAAATTATAAAACTCATTAATATTCATAAGGCAAAACACAATAGAAATCATAGCCCATGAAGAGAGTTGTATATTACATACAGATTTCTTGTTCATTTGCATAAACTTTTACTCTGATTTTCTTGGTCAGATTGATTTTTTTTCAAAAGTTTCTTTAAAACCTGAGCTAGTTTACCTCAACGTTTCATAAGTAATATACAATATTCGCGGGCGATATGTATGAGGTTTAAAACAGCTCGCTTTCAGCTCGCTGTTTTAAATCCTCATACAGATCGCCCGCTCATATTGTATATATTACTTAAAAAATATAGAAAATATCAATATTTCTGTGGGGTATAGGRTAAGATAAAGTAGGAAATAGTAGAAGGTAGAAAATAAGATGATAGATAGAAAATGGGAGAGAATGAGATGGGATATAGTTCTTTTAAGAATGCCAAAGCAAAAAATAAAAACTTGTACTGGAACAAATTAGATTAAGCTGGTTCAAAAATATATTGAACCTGAACTACAACATAGATATAGAGGATATTACATGGACGCACGGAAATACTAATTTTATCTTCGAGTGTTCAATCGATATCCCACAAGTGAGCGTAGCAAACAAGTGAGATATCAATTGAACACGAGAAGTTAAAATTTAGTATTTCCAAGCGGCCATGTAATGTTCTATTTATTATATATACATATCGATCTTTATATAAAAATTGATCTAATTGGCCGAAAAAAGGCAGTGTCRCCATGCCAACAATGATATCTCGTGAAAGATATAAAAACCGATGTGAAAGATATGATATCTTTTCATGGTTMAAAATATAGCATTTTCATAACTAGAGAAAACCTGGTATCTCATCGATATGTATATAATAAATTTGAATAACCACTTTTCCTAGAAACTGTGTTACACACATTACATTTRACAACCTCTTTGACAGCTTTTTGTCACTTTTTTGTAACTAAACGTACATAACACAATTTTTTAACCRAAATTATAATAAAATATTTAGTCATTAGTCTGTTGTTTTAATCTAGATAAACGCTAAGGAAGCCATAGAATTGTAAATGTTTTTGTTTCAGTGACAAAAAATCAAAATACAAAAATAAAGCATCAGAAAAAGATTTTGCAATGTTATGCAATTTGCCACATCAGGAATTCTTGCTGCATAATCTATCATTTTTGCCACATAACTGAACTTTTTTGCTGCATAATTTGATGTTAAAATGTCTCATAATTTTAGGTTATTTGCTACGCTATATCAGATAGCCTGACATGTATGTACAAAAAGAAATCTTAAAGTTACATTCCTTTTCTGTTCTATTCAGGATAATCTAAAGAATTTCAACTACTGTACAACAGACAAAAAACGTTTTGTTGAATAGTACCTAACAGTTAACATTATAGTATAGTGGTAAAAGCCAGGTATTTCAGTTAAAAAGGGCACAGGTTCGAATCCTACTGGCTAATTATGAGAAAATGTTCTTTACCAAATTTTGCAACTAAATGTGTGCATAATTYCTGGAGTCAGTAGAAAATTTCTAACTCTAACATACAAATTAAGATGACTGAAGGAAGTACAGGACTATAGATCAATATCTTTATTAAGGATTTGAATATATGATAACCAGTGTTACTATGAGAGATAAAGCACTACAAAGAATAAAGAAAGCTTACTAAATCAGGTAGTATTGTAATGTCAGTGGTATAAAGGTCAAACATGACGAAACTGGGATTCCCCAGTTGGTCTAATATCTCATGAATTTTTTGGTGTGCCAAGGAAAGTCTCAATTTTCAGCATTATACATGAATATTGTATTTGTGATTACAGGGCCATTGACAAGCACCACAGAAGCTAGTGAGACAAATTTTGATACTTGCGAAACAGAAGCAGTGTTGAGATTTTTAGTGGCTTTGTCTAATATTGACTATCAAGATTCTTCTCCAGTACTTGGATATCASAATGATCTACTAAGTACACTACCAAAGGTAAGGATTCTGAAAATAAARCTAAAATAAAACAAAGTGYATATGTTGTAGTTCAGGTTCAATATGATTTTGAACCAGTTCAATTTCCTCTGAACTGGTTCACTATATTTTGAGCCAGTCCAATATAAGACTCAATCCAGTACAAATCAGTTTAGGGTTAGGTTTTAGGTTAGGTTTAGGGTTAGGTTTAGGGTTGGGAATAGGGTTGAGCCAGCATCATATAAAAATTTTCTTCATTAATAAATTACAATKAAGAAACAATTGGCAAACWTTATATAATATCTCAATTTCTGTGGGGTAAAGGGTAAGATAAAGTAGGAAATAGTAGAAGGTAGAAAATAAGATCATCATGATAGATAGAAAATGGGAGAGAATGAGATGGGATATAGCTCTTTTTAGTTCTTTTATTAAGAATGCCAAAGCAAAAAAAAAAAGACCAGTACAAGAAGTCTTGTACTGGAACAAATTAGATTAAACTGGTTCAAAAATATATTGAACCTGAACTACAACATATATGTTTGATTGTAATGAGGACATAATAAGGCATAAAAAAAAGCTGTAGAAGAAAACATGCAAATATACATGTACACTGTATATCAAACTCTAACTGCCAACAACTTAGCCTGATGAGTCTCATGACACGGCATAAGGCTGGGTAACTCTGTCAAGTCTGCTTTATCAGAACATGCGAATAGACTTAATCATAATTTAGACTGGGATGGCACTTGCATATTAAAGAAAGAATCACAATGGCACCAATGAAAGAAAATGGTTAGGAGCTGTACTTATAGCTAAAGATGAAAATAATTAGAACAACACTGTTTTGTCAAATAGGGGACAATGATATCTGAACTCTACTCGATAGTTATGTTCAGTTGCTTAAGTTTGATTATTTTGCATTATCACCTTGTAATGTAGCCTATTCATTGTAATAAGTATGCACACTGTTTATTGTTAGYAAGATTTCTCAAGCGCTCTGCCCTWAGATGGGTATTGTCATCTCATKTACTTACAGCCTTGATAAACATTTGGCCTCTTCTCAAGACCAAAAGCTTGGTTTTAACAATAAGCTATCCACACAGAAGAATCTTAAAAAAATTAAAAATAGACATAGTTTTGCAGTTTACATGTCTTAAATGTGTTAAGTGTGTCGCATTGTTGTCTAGTATATATAATTATGTACTTTAGTCTTTCAATATTTATTGCAAATATTTAATATTTAAACAACCAAAATGCAAATGTAGAGCAATCAATCTGAGTGAAGGATGGTAATCATTGTGTTTCTCTTATATAGGAGTTAATTTGTCTTTTACCTGAGGGACCTCTTCTTCATACTGACAGCTCTAAAATAAGGCATCAGTCTCTTCTTGAGGATCAATATATCCTTTATTCCAGGTAATGATACTCTTTAGTTTATTTATAATACAATATTAATTTTTTGGGGAATTATTTCATTACTTTTTTAAAACAAGAACAACTTCGTGGAACATACCGTGTCCAGGTTAGAAAGTAACCTTTTTTACCAGCGCCGTGATCAGTTTGAAAGATGAACTGTGTATAATCTTTGGACCATTGTTGTTCTTGCTGTATATCTCTACTATCGAAGAGACATAGTTAAAAGCCATGATCTCGACTGTATGATTTATGCTGACGACACGCAACTTTACATCGCTGTTAACCATGATGGGAGATCGCCAGAACTTCAAAGTTTGCGTGCTTGCATCAATGATATCTTTAACTGGAACAAGACTAACAAGTTGCAGTCAAATCCAGATAAAACTGAGATCATACAGTTTTCTTCGAGATTTGTCAAAAAACCATCAACCATCTTGCTGTTAGATGTTGGGGGCGCGTTCATCAAATTCTCAAATGAAGTACGTGACCTTGGAGTCATATTATTTTGACTCCAAACTTGATTTCTGTACACATATTAAGAACATTTGCAAAGCCTCTTCTGCAGCCCTATGCAACTTAGGTTGAATTCGCCATTATCTTACTCGTGATCATCTTGAACACCTTGTCCATGCCTTTATTGGCTTGACCATTGTAACAGCATCTTGTATGGCCTTCCATCTAACGACCTAAACAGCTTACAAAGAATACAAAATACTGCAGCATGGCTAGTAGTTGGTGCAAAGTCATGTGATAGCATATCAGCTATTCTTAAAGATATACAATGGCTTCCTGTACATCTCCGTATTCAGTATAAGACCTTACTATTCACATATAAGGTGCTTTATGGTTTGTCACCACCCTATCTGTCTGGACTGTCAACACAGTACAAGCCCTCTCAACCACTTCGTTCTTCAGCTATAAGAACTTATTGGCGATTCCACCKCCTCKAACCTGGTCTTATGGTGATCAAYRTTTTGAATATTCTGCTTCCCGTCTCKGGAACACCCTGCCTCAAGAAGTCAMGAACCAGCCTTCTCTAGCAACATTTAAATCCAAGSTTAAGRCTCATCTTTTTTTCCAAATAAGAACACCATAACTTTTTTTAATTTTCTTTTAAAAATATTGTGAATTATTTTTCTAATTTCTAATTTTTATGTATCTATTATATATATTTTATGATATATTTGTTCTGAGACTATGTTTAGTGCGCTATATAACCATTTCCTATTATTATTATTATTATTAATCTTTTTGTATCATTTTTTTATATTTTTATCTGATTGATTGCAGCAAAAATTTAGCATTCATGGATTGCATTCGCATTATCCTCTGTCAGAGAATTTATAAGATGAAAGTTTGCTTTGCATTTTAGAAAGAAAAAGAAAATGAGTATATTTTGAAACATWTAAAAAAGAAAGAAAGAAAGAAAATATGCTAGAGTGGAAATTCGAGAGAGGTGCTGAGTCGAATCGAACCTAGGAACCTGCAATCCTGGGTCCCTTGGGATTGCTAAACTGCGACATGGAAAAAAAAACGCTGCATTTTATAACCGTGCCACAGGCATTCTGCCTGCACACGGTAAAAAAAGAACAAGAAGTATATTTTAAAGTTTTAAAAAGAAAGAAAAAAATAATAATTGTTTAGAAAATGCTCGAGTCGAGAATCGAACCCTCAATCCTCTGTTCGACGCCCCCTGTTCAAGTATCATCTTGTTCTAAAATTTAGCAAAGGTGCCTCATAAATATTAATAAAACAAATTGCTACGATAAAAATCTAACATGACTAGAACATTCACAAAATGTATACTGTATTATAATAAAATGACATTGGTATCATATTGACTTTTATCATTAATTATTTTGGAAATTCTTTATTTCTTCCTTTCGAAAAAGCATTACTAGTGAAAATATCACACTCAAGGTTTCTCTGTTATATACATGTATTGGAAGTAAAAAAAGTTGCTTATAGTTATATGATAAACAGAATAATACATGATCACTTGGAGATACAAATTTTATCTTTTTGTATCTTTGCTACACTCGCTCTTGAGAAATCTTTTCAATTCTCTAAGATAAAATTGCATATCTCTACACGCCCATGTAATATCCTCTATTTAATGTTGCTTGACCAACAGTAGTTAACAACAAACTAGGACTTAATAATACATGGACAATCATGATATTTTAAGTCCAGATTTACTTGGTGTAGTAATGCTGTTGTGTTATATTTATTTCAGAGATTTATTTGAAAAACCTCAGCCAATTGTCACTCATGTATCAAATATCATGGAAAGCAGCACAGTGTTCCCAGAAATTATGGCTCCTTGCAAGGGAAGAAGRCGATTCTTTACCATTCAGGTTAGATTCACTAAACTCGTCACMTCTTACCTGAACAATTTCACTTTCAATTAATGTTGTGCAAACTATGCACTCTTTGTGTATGTGAGAAAGAAGTTTAAATTATGTCCTTATCATTTGACAAGGAATGGGGATCATTTAATCTCTGATAGTAAAAACTCCCAATGATACTATTATGATATAAATATCATGAGATATCACAGACACTTATAAGTTAGATACCATTACAAGTATATTCACTTAAGAGTAATATCCAAGTGTGTACAGGGAGCTCTAATATTATTTGATACTTTAGCTTTTGAAAACAAACAAAAGATTAATAAATGGTAGATGGTATCATGTTAATGTTGTATCGGTACAGAAAGAAAGGTATGAACCAATTGTCTGATTAACATGTTACTACTGGACAGTCTTTTATAAATTTGGCCAGTAAACTTTCATCAAACTTTAACTTAGACAAACTTRCCATTAGCCTATCCATAACCTCAGAAGAGAAACTCATGGCGTGACTTTAGTAGTGTGGAGTGACCTGCATTYATTAGCTATCTTAARCCAAACTAGAATTCCTAATCTATAGGAGACTGGTGAAGTTTTGCATGACAAGAAAACAAGACTGACAGTGTTCGGGGCATTAAGTCATGGTTATACAGATGACATGCAAGTTAAGTTAGGACTCCCTGACCTACCTCAAGTAACAGAGAAGTAAGTCAAAAACTTTATCATATTATAAGAACAGGGAGAAGAAAATAATGATAACAATATTATGTTAATGTATGACATGTACACTTCCGGATGTCTTTCAGCAATTGCCATTGATATAGAGTGTGCAATGATAGATACATKTATCTTTKAAACAATTAATGAATCTGCAGGGTATTATTGCATGTCATAACTTGATTTCAAGGCAAAGGACTGCCTTGAGTGTTAGTTTCAATTAATTTGAAATATCATTCAATAATGCTTTACTCTGGGAAAAGTTCAAAGCAGTCTACAATGGAACTCCAGGAATTTCAAGGCTTTACTCAATTCATTATTATTTTGTAATAAATTGAGGATTTAAGCAATTTGTAATATGCTATATGCTAAAATGCTTCTCTTTTAATGATTTAGAACATTTGGTGTTTCATCATTATCAACAGCACAGGTAATTTTATGTATTACAGTGCGACTCGAATAGCCATGACCTGCCTAGAAATATTTCAGGAATGTGTACTTAAAAAGTGTCTTAGCTGAAAAACAAGAAAGCATGATAAAAAATTGTTTTAATTTTGCATAACACTAATCTGCTTGAATGTTATCCTGGAAAAAAACTGCCAATCTTTGTTTGTTTGCACAAACGAATAATAAAAGTCCATTCCTGTAGATTGCTATTTTTTATACTTTTCAAGTTACATTCCAATAAATGCACAAACTGTTTGTTGCAATGTTTATATTGTTTACATTGCTTCTGATTAAAAATATTTTGAGCATGCAAAAAAAAAACACTTGGACATTCAAGTTACCTGCCCTTGGGTTCGGGGACATTTAATCCCTAATCTCCCTCAGAGGCATGTTGGATCTGCCCCAGAATTTTTCCACTTGCCACGACCAATTTATCTCATCAAAAATAAGTTTTGAATGGCCTGTTTTATTTTAGCGAAAGACTCGAGTTACACACATTACATAATATAAAATTGCAAAAAAACTCTAAAAAATGAAAATTTGCAAAATGAATGATAAGAATTCATTCAATCTATTATAACAGTCTAGTATATTATAGATATTTTCTGTTTTGCTTTGCTTTGTTTCGGGATTTTGGGTTTGTTTGATTTTGTTTTTATGTTTTGCTTATTTGTTGTTTTTTCTTGACTTTTTGTTGTAGTCATCACCTGATGATGAAGGATTTCATGAGCTGACTGACAGCACTGCCACATACACATCTACTCAAGCAAACCCAGAAAGCTTTGAAAGTTCTTTGGAGAGTGGATTAGATATCTGGACAGAAGCTTTAAAATTACCAACACAAAAGTTTTACACCTGGGAAATGGAGGGAAGGTAAATTCTCGCAAATTTTTAGTGTACAACGTGTGAAATACAATATTACATGATGGTAACTTAGGATAATTAAAGTGTACTTATTAATGAGAGAACTCAAAATAAAGTTGAGGGTAAATTTACGGACTGAATTGAATCTGTAAATGTAACAAGAAAGAGATGGAAAGGAAACAATTAAAAGCAATTTAAAATGAGGTTTGATAATTAGGACTTTTGTAATGAAACACAATACACAAATATTGTGACCCTAGATCTATTTGATTATAATCATTGGAAAGTTCTACATGATATAATTTATTGTTTTAGGAGAGATGGGTTACTTGACCATCCATACATCTCTGAAGCAGGTCCAGAAGTGTTTGATGAGTTGTACAACCTAATATATAAACAAGTGTCTTACTTAACAAAGACACCAACCCACTACACGATGACAAAAGTCAAGATATTAAATAGACATTCCCTAGATGTATTGATTGGTGTTCCAACAACTACATTTCTATATAATATGGTATGCAATTTAGAGCAACTGTTAAAAAGTATTTCTGTTGTTGTTTGACATGATCATCCCTGGTCAAATCACACATTAGCTACAATTGTAGGTTGGATAAAAGAGGGTAGATAATTCATTTGTCTGGGGCATTCCATAGTGTTGTATATATTAACTTCTAACAATGGTATACAGCTTTTTAATTTGTTTTTTAATAAGCATCCTTGCTTCTAATTCAATTGACTGTTGTTGTTATTATTGAAACCAAAAAGAACAAGACTGATATTGGACTTTTTGTTTGACAGGATGTTCCTGGCTTTWATGTTAATACTKATGTCAGATTAAGTGGTTGCTCTCCTGAGTCATTAAATGCCACTTTGTCTAAGCTAGCATCCATTGGAACCAATTATCAAAACCTAGTGAACTTTATCAACCATAAAGAACAAACAGGTGGACTAGTTCTACATGCATTCCTTGGTGGTCTCAGGAACTACCTACATTGCTACAGATCAGTTGTACTTGATTTTCATGGTAAAAGCATATCAAGTATCATATTATTATAGTAACACATACATCAGGCAATTCTTCACTGATAGAGGAGAACCCACCTTACRCATTCAGGTCACACAACAAAGACCATTTGTTTGTTTTTTGTTGTTTTTCTTTAGTGATAGTTTTGATACAGTGTRTGCACTTAACTCTTCCAGATGCTTCAATGCAAAGTCCATTACAGCTTAGTTTCATATTTCAGAACATTGGAAGACAGTTAAGGTTAGTGTTGTGTATTTGTAACGAAGTTGATATATTCTTGTCAAGGCCTAGAAAAGGAAACATTAACATAATTATCTTTATTGTTATGATTCATAATGATTGTATCATTCTTTTAAGGTTTTTATCTGATGTATGCATGTGCTCTAGTCAGTCGAGGCCAAAAGGCAATACCAGACAATCTTCTTTCCCAACAGTAAGTCAACAGATTTAACTAACAGTTGGTAATTCTAGTAATAAAATTGTAAATTGCAAAAGTACTTTTAGTGTATCTTTGTGTGATTATTGTGGTGTAGAGAATATCTGCAAACTAAGGTTTCTCTTTTCTTGTCATTTCTTTCCCTTACTATTGATTGGTTATGACATGACTGTTTTGAATATCCTCCATTTTATATTCTGGAAATTGTCATCTGTTCAGCTGAGTGTTCAACAGCTGCTTGTTGCTGTGTACTAGACAGTCTTAAAGAGAGAGGTTTTTTTGTAGGGAGTAAAACTGTTATCATACTTATACAAGTTGTGCTTGGAACACTCAAGTACTGATCAGTATCCTGTTTTACTATCTCTACTCAAACATAGCTGTGCCCCCTACATCTTGTGAGTATAATTGTAACTCTATCATTTGATTACAGTGCATCTTTTAGCATGATATTAATTCTGGCTTTGTCTATTCTTGAGTGTTAAACTACATACACCTAATTACACAAACATTGTCCAAGAAAAAGACCTTTTACTGATTTAGGAATTAATTAAAAGACAAAAGAAAGTGTTCTGGTTCTTTTTGTCTTTTAGTGTATTCCTAATTTCCTAAATCCCTAAATCCCAGGACAACGTTTTTGTAATTAGGTGTTATTCTCGGACTATAAAGTTAATGTCTGCCTTTATTATCATCATCTCTTTCATCAACCATTCATTGAATTTTTCATGAATTTTCTTTTCACCAGTATATCCTGCAATCCTTTTATCATTTAATGTTGTTTCTTATTTGTTGACAGATTTGTTCAGCAGTGGGTATTCCAGGGAATATGCCGAGATGTGTATGAAGAATTTATCATTGAAGTTGATGATCAATTTTTAGCATACAGAGGTTATTATTAGCCATTGCTCATATGACAAAACAATTAAC